GTTCATATTTAATGAAATTATTAATATGGTTAAATTTATATCAGCCACTGGGCTATTTGTTATCCATGTACGTTTTTTTCCTCCCCTCTTTTCATTCTTTATTGTCTTCTTTGCAATTAAACATTCTTCAGCATGCAATTGTAACTTCTCTTGATTTTGTTCTCCTTTTTTAGGTATGAGAAGTTGTTCTAGGGGTTACAATATATCAATAGCTCTTCAACTTATTACAACTTCAAATTAATAATGAATTAATTACAACAAAACACAGCAATTTTTCTCCCAAGAGAGTTCTATTTCCTTTACCCTTCTTTGTGCTATTTTCACACGTCTATGTATATTACAATCTTAACACTACAATGCTAGTACTATTGCTTTAAATAATCTCATGTCCCTTTAAAAATTAAAAAAAAATATACACAGCCTTTTATACCCACCCACATATATATCATTTCTAGTACTTTCTATTTCTTCCTGTGGATTATAGTTTCTATTCTTAACAACTTAAAGGATTTTTCTTTTTTAGTATTTCTTCAAAGGCAGTTTTTTAAAACAATATGTCTCTCAATCTTTGTTTATATAGGAATGTTTTCATTTCACCTTCATACTTGTAAAATAATTTTACAAATTTAGAATTCTTTGTTGGCAATTTTGTTGTCTTTTGGTGACTGTCATTTTACTGTCTTCTGGCCTTAACTGTTTCTGATAAGTCAAATTATTAAACCTATTGCTGCGTCCTCCACATTAGTTCTTTTTTACTTGCTGCTTTCAAGATTTTTCATCCTTGTCTTTTCAACAACGTGACCTGTGTTTACACTATTTGGGTTTTTTAAAAATTTCTTGGATCTGTGGATTAACATTTCTCACCAAATTTGAGGAGTCTATGGCAATTATTATTAATATTCCTTTAAAAGTTTTTCCTTCTTGTCTCCTTCTCTCATTCCTTTCTTTCTAGGACTCTATTACACAAATCTGGTGCACTTGATGTTTCACACATTTCTTAAGCTCTGTCATTTCGTTTCATCTTTTTCCCTGTTTTTTTTCAAAATAAACAATTTCTATTAATCTTTCATGTTCAATGTTTCTTCTGTCATTTAAAATCTGTTGAGCTCATTAATAAGTTATAAATTTCTGTTATTGTAATTTTCAACTCATAAATTAGCATTTGAAAAACTGAAATTACTCACTTTTTATTTCTTGTTACCATATTTTCTTATAATTCTCCAAACATATTTTCCTAGAACTCTTTGAACACATTTACAAAAAGGGCTCTGAAGTATCTGTTAAACCCAACAACTTGGCCCACTGAGAAGCCATCTCTTGTTTCTAAGCTTTTTTTACATTTTTAATTAATTTTAATTGTTTTTAGCCTGCTCTGGGTCTCTATTGCTGCACGCGGGCTTTCTCTGGCTGCAGTAAGTCAGGATGCTCTTCGTCGTGGAGCGTGGGCTTCTCACTGTGGCGCGTCTCTCTCTGCAGAGCACTGGCTCCAGGTGTTCAGACTTCAGTAGTTGGGGCATGTGGGCTTAGCTGCTCTGTGGCATGTGGGACCTTCCCTGAATAGGGGTCAAACTCGTATCCCCAGCACTGGCAAGTGGATTCTTAATCACTGGATCACCAGGGAAGCCCTTGAGAAATCATTTCTATTGTTTGCTTTCCCCCCTTAGTATGGTCACACTTTACTGTTCGTTTATTTTTTTGGCATGGCTCCAATTTTTCTAGAAAAGCAGACATTTTGGGGTATCTTGTAACAGCTGTGTATTTCAAAATTATTTTCCTAAGTTTCCTTTTAACAAATTAATCTTTAATTGAAACTGTGTAACTTGTCTCTCACACGATGGACGGTTTCTGTTTGGAATTTTATTCTTTTTTTTTTTTTTAACCTGTCTTTCTGGACGTTTCCTCTGTGTTTCAACATATCACTGGTTAGCCAATGATTTGGCAGAGACTGTGTTCAAATGCTCCAAATTTATAAGACTCCTCCTCTCTGAGACCTGATTTGCTGGGGGGTAGGGACCACATTCCCTTATGTCAAAGTCTAATTCAAAGCAAGGCCCTCTCTTAAATTCTACGCTGAAAGAAGTGAGGAAGCTCCAAGGGAAAAGTCTGAATCTAGTTCATGAGATTTAAGAAAAGAAGCCATCTCCATAACATAAGACCTCAAGGTGAAGCAGCAAGTACTGATGTAGAAGATGCAGCAAGTTATCTAGATCTAGCTAAGACAAGTAATGAAGGTGGCTATGCTAAACAAAAAGATTTGCAGTGTAGATAAAATAGCATGATATTAAAAGAAGATGCCACCTAGGATTTTCATAGTTATACAGCTGGTGACTTTAAGCTGAAGCCAATGTTCATTTGCCTTTCTGAGAGTCCTAGGGCCCCTTGGTGGTGGTGGTTTAGTCGCTAAGTCATGTCTGACTCTTTCGACCCCATGGACTGTAGTTTGTCAGGCTCCTTTGTCCATGGGATTCTCTAGGCAAGAATACTGGAGTGGGTTGCCATTTCCTTCTCCAAGGGACCTGCCCAACCCAGGAACTGAACCCAGGTCTTCTGCACTGCAGGCAGATTCTTTACCAACTGAGCTACGAGCTGTCTAACACAATATTCATTTTGCAGCCCCATGGATCAAGGGCCCCTTGAATTATGCTAAATCTACCCTGCCTATGCTCTATCAATGCGGCAACAAAGTGTGGGTGATAGCACATCTGTTTACAACGTGGTTTCAGTTCAGTTCTGTTGCTCAGTCATGTCTGACTCTTTGCTCCATCGGCTGCAGCAAGCCAGGCTTCCCTGTCTATCACCAACTCCCGGAGCTGGTGGTTTGGCAAGTATTTTAAGCCCACTGTTAAGATCTACAGCTCAAAAAAAAAGATCCCTTTCAAAATATGACTGCTCACTGACGATGCATCTGGTCACTGAAGAGCTCTGACGGAGATGCACAAAGAGAATAATGTTGTTTTCATGCCGCCTAACACAATATTCATTTTGCAGCCCCATGGATCAAAGAGTAATTTTGACTTTCAAGTTTTACTAGTTAAGAAAAATTTTGTAAGGCTATAGCTGCCATAGAGAGTGATCCGCTGATGAATCTGAGCAAAGTCCATTGGAAACTTTCTGAAAAGTATTCAGATTTTAGATGGCACTAAAAATATTCATGATTCAAGCAGAGGTCAAAATATCAACAACAGAATTTTTGAAGAAGTTGACTTCAACTCTTATGAATGACTTTGAGAAGTACAAGGGGTTTTGTGGAGCAAGGAACTACAGATGTGCTGGAAATAACAAGAGAAAGAATTCAAAGTGGAGTCTGAATATGTATAAACCTCATGACAAACACTTTAACAGATGAGGAGTTACTTCTTATGGGTGAGCAAAGAAAGTGGTTCCCAGAGATGTAATCTACTCATGGTGAAAATGCTGTGATGATTGTTGAAATGACAATAAAGTATTTAGAATATGACACATACTTAGTTGATAAAGCAGTGGCAGGGTTTGAGAGGACCGACTCCAATTTTGAAAGACTTCTACTGTGGGTCAAATGCTATCAGACAGCATTACATACTACTGAGAACCAGTTTTCAAAAGGAAAAGTCCATCAATGAGGTAAACATCATTGTCTAACTTTAAGAAATTGCCATCAGCAAAAAGACTCTAATTTTCTGAAGGCTCAGGTGATTGTGTTTTTTTTTAAGCAATAAAGTATTTTTAAATTACGGGTATGTACATCATTTTTATAGGCCTAAGGCATTGTACACTTAATAGACTATTGTATAGTGTAAATATAACTTTTGTATGCATTGAGAAAAGAAAAAATTCATGTGCCTGGCTTTACTGCAATATTTGCTTTACTGTAGTGGTCTGGAACTCAACCTACAATATCTCTAAGATATGCCTAGAAATACTTCTCAATTTATTTATTTTTTAAAAAATCTGTGGTGAATTTCCAGAGCCCTGATATGAGTTTTCATAATTTTTCCAGTTTCATTCCTTTTTTTTGGGGGGGCGGGGGGAAAACGGGAGGAAGGGAAATTGCCTACTTCTTCACACTACCAGAGCTAGTCTTCCCATCTGTGATCATCTCAATTCATCTGGAATAACAATGAAAGATCTAATCCTTAGGTAGGTTGTTAAGGAGTCTGGGGTCCTCAAGGAGGAAGGGGTCCAGAGCCCTTGAGGAAGAAGGGGTCTGGGGCTCTCAAGGAGGAGAAAAAAAACTTTTTCTACATTGCTTTGTCTTAGTCAATATAGCAATGTATCTTGTTTCTCCTTAACAAGAACCTTCTGACTAATCTTGTTATCTTAAGATGTATGCTGTAGGAATGGATCTGGTGAGACCTTTCAGTTGTTAGTTCTAATCTTGTTAATTTAAGATGTCTGTTGTGGGAGGGGGTCTGGTAAAAGTATATAAGGCCTTGATAAGATTAGTGAGGGGGGCACTCTCCATCCTCCTTCTGATGTCTATGTCATAAGCTTTCTCTGTCCTTTTTCATTTTAATAAAACTCTGCTACACAAAAGCTAGAGTGATCAAGCCTGGTCCCTGGTCCTGAAGCTAAATCTTCCTCAGAGATCATGAATCCCTCATCGTTCACTGTAAGCTATCAGCAATAACACCTGTATTATTAGCCTCATACTATGGGTAAGCACATTAACAAAGAAAATGGTCAACTGTCCAAAGATTATATAGATGCTAAATGGAAGAATTTACAAAACTAGATAGTTAGCCTTCAGAGCCTTTCTGTACTTTAAACAAATATGAATGTGAAAATTCTTAGGATACTGAACTAGAAGCAGGCACAGGTGCTATAGCAAGCAGCATGGATGAAAAGAACCTACTTTTGGAAAATGAGTAGACAGGATATAAGATGAACTACCACAAGCATGTATCATTTACAAAAATTTCATGTTTTTAGGAATACATACGTCAGTAAATATTCAAATATTTGAAAAAGATAAGTCATTAATTTTTTTTTTTTTTTTTAGATTTCTCACTAATTTAACTTACTCTCTTGCCGGTACCCCTTCCCACTGGAGGATGTGCCTCAGCAGCTTGACGAATTGTACAAACCATTAGCTCTATAAGAGCACTCTCCTGACGGTCGGACATTGCTAAAGTCAAACAAAACACACTAGCATAAGTAGATAGTTTTATAATAGCCACATATCAAAAATGCACACAATTATAAAAAAAAAAACCTGCAACCTATTACTTAAAGACTAAGGTTAAGTCCTATTCTTTGTCCTTTTTATCTTTTCAATAATATGTATCTGTCATAAGTCAAATAAGAAAGAGGTATACAAAGTAAAGAAAAACAGGGTAACCTCTGGTTTCTTCTAATACCTAATTTCTTGTAATATCATACTTCTGAATTGGGCAATGCCAAAATTTTCCTTCTATATCATTTCAAAGTTTACATATCTTTTGCTTTTTTTATTAAAAAAAAAAATTAACAATAGATTTTGAGTATTTTTCAAGTCACATGACACATATGAACAATTACCTTAAATAATTACAAGTTATTATATAATTTGTGTTCCACAGTTTATTCAACTCAACCTTCTCTACTAACATTCACTCAAATTTTCCCCCAATTCTTGTCACATTTATAAAAAATTCAATAACAAGTATCATAAATATACACAAATTTATGTAACTAACACTTCTATTTCTGCAGAATAAATGTCAAGAGAGGGAGTAATGAGTCAAAGGTTAAAATCTTGGTACTGACAAATCAATAACGTTACTTACTGCAATCCACACCTTCAACTGCAATGATGACAATGTTTGATTCCTTTTATCCCTGCCAACACTGGATGCTTTAAGTTCCTTTAATTTTTGCCAATCCAATCACTGAAAGTGGTATTTCTTATTTTGCTCCTGCATAATTAGTGGAGTGCATTTTCTTGTTTATTAGTTAAAAAAATTTTTTGGAGACTTTTCTGTTTATTCTCTGCTAATTTTTCTATTGTTATACACTTTTATTGGATTCTTATATATTAGTAGCATTAACTTTGTCTTAAATGATGCAAATATTTTCTCACAGTTTGTGCTTTTGGTTTTAGACTCCTCATGGTATCTTCTGTCAGAAATAGTTAACTTCTGCAGAGTCATATCTATACTGATTTATGACTTTCAGATTTCTCTCTTTGCTTTCCAGGATTTTTATTTATTTATTTATTTTTTTGAGAGATAACTGACATACAATACCATACAGGTTTAAGTTGTACCACACAATGATTTAATTTACCTACATTGTGAAATGATTACCACAGTAAGTTTAGCTAATATCTATCATCTCATATAGATTAAAATAAAAGTCTTTTGGGTTTCTTGCATTGCTTTCAAAGAGCTCCTTTCTCCCAGAGATTAAAGAAGTATATTTTCTTTTCTGTCTCTGTTGCTTGCTTTTACCTCTCTTATCTATCTGAAATTTATTCTGCTGATAGTATTAATATCAGGTAAGGGTCTGTTTAACTCCCACCAGATGAGCACTCAATGATGCCCCCACCATTGATAAAGAAAACCAGCTTTCCTTGGTTTATTTGGAACATCACCTTTTAACATGTTTTAGACGCTCCTATCGGAGAAGGCAATGGCACCCCACTCCAGTACTCTTGCCTGGAAAATCCCATGGATGGAAGAGCCTGGTAGGCTACAGTCCATGGGGTTGCGAAGAGTCGGACATGACTGAGCGACTTCACTTTCACTTTTCACTTTCACACATTGGAGAAGGAAATGGCAACCCACTCCAGTGTTCTTGCCTGGAGAATCCCAGGGACTGGGGAGCCTGGTGGGCTGCCGTCTATGGGGTCGCACAGAGTCGGACATGACTGAAGTGACTTAGCAGCAGATGCTCCTATATACTTTGATCTATTAATATTTCTGGATTCTTTAGTTTCAGTGTTATAAAGCCATACTGTTTTGATTATAGCAACTTTATAATGTTATAATATACCTTAATGTGTAATTTAATTCAACTAATTTGAATATCTAGTTGAACAAATTTCCCTTATCTAATCCTTTTCCTAAAAAAATTCTAATTTCTATAAAGCTAGTAGCAAACAATTTATTAAGTATTTTCTATATGCAGGGCACAGTTATAAATAACTTTTCAAAGCACTCAATCAGTAGTAGACCCAAGATATGAACCCAGGCAGTCTGACTTCAAGGTCTATGCTCTTAAGCACTATGCTATACTGTCTTTATAACTTATGCATGAAATTCTGCATAAACTTTAATTTTTAATTTTTATTGGAGTATAGTTGATTTACAGTGTTGTGTTAATTCAGGTGTACAGCAAAGTGAGCCAAATATATATATATATATATACCTCCACTCTTTTTTAGATTCTTCTCTCATATAGGCCACTAAAGAGTACTAAGTAGTTTCCTGTGCTATACACTAGGCCATTATTAGTTATCTATTTTATATATAGCAGTGTGTATATGTCAATCCCAATCTTCCAGTCTATTTGCCTCAACTTTCTGGTAACCATGTTTGTTTTCTGCATCTGTAACTCTATTTCTGTTTCGCAGATTGCTCATTTGTACCCTTTTAAAAAAATATCCCACATATACCTAATATCATATGATATTTGTCTTCTTTGTTGGACTTAACTTTACTCAGTCTATGTAAGTTTTAAAATCATTATGCTTAGTTTATTTTCTCACCTCACCTTTCAGACTTCTCTCAAATGCACTGGAATTTGAACTGGTATTTTTAAGAAAATTATACATTATGTTGGGAAGAACTGACATTTTAATCATCTTTCCAGTCAGGAACGTGATATAACTCTCCATTTATAAGATCGTATTTGACATTATTTAATGAAACATTATGATTTTCTTCACATTGATTCTGTACTTTCCTTATTGAATTCATTCCTATATATATATATTTAAAAACATTTTGAAACTAATTTGAATAGTTTATCTTTGTCTCCTTCCTCGTGTTCTTTTCTCTGTATACTTATTTATGCTAAAGACAAATTTAAAAAAAACCAATAGATATGGGAATTATAGAGACAGAACTAGGCATAAAGAAAAAATAGTAAGTTTTGGAAGCAGAGATGTCTATATTGATTATTTCAAAATAAACTGGGGCAACACTAATGAAAAGGCAAGCAAAGACGTTACATCTTATCCCTTATTCTATACCAAAATCATCCTGAACAGGAATATGTATGTACATCTTAGTTCAATCATTTTTAACACTTTAATTGATAGGAAAGACACATGAACTTTAGCTTGTCTTAGTAAAACCACAGAAACAGCTTCAGCTTTCCATTTATACTCTCTGATTCAATGCTTAATAATATGAAAAAACTTCCCATGCAATAAAACAATCAAAGTTTCTACTTTATGATTCTAGAATTTCTTATTTTTTCACATTAGGCTGGGGATAAAGGAATGACTAGACTATGAACTACTGGGTCAGCCAAAAAGTTTGTTTGGGTTTCTCTATAAGATGTTACAGAAAAACTTGAATGAACCCTCTGGTTAACCCAATAAATGCATTTTCTATTATTTATGAAAAAAAATCTAGTTCTGTGGAAAGTGAGGACAAAGAAAACCTTATCAAATATAGAAATACTCTTTTATTATAAACTAAAATATATAGATTAGTGTTGAAGAATAACTCAACCTTATACAGTGTCTAACGCCATCAGCTTTATTAGTGTATAATTTGAAATCACCCATTTTGATATGGCAAACTCAAAACAATTGAAATTTAAAAGTGAAAACAAGCAAGCCTTAAGACACAGTTGAGAGCCAAACAGCCACAATGGCAGAAAGGAAAGGGTGCTGTTTGCTCTATGAATTATCAAATAACTACACAACTTTTTAAGTTTTCAGAAACCTCTTTACACATCATCTCAATTTCCTCATTACTGATTTCAGTCTTATCACCTTAAACTCTGGCTTTTCTCCTTTATACCACTGAAAAGAAACACTAAAAAGTCACTGATGACCTAAATCTTCACTTAAAGCTGATGGTCTTTGCACAGTCCTTTTTCTCTTCCTCTGCAATATTTGATATTATTAACCACAGCTCTCTTGAACACCCTCTTTACTGGGCCTTCTATAGTGTACAGTTATCTCTTACCATCCTTTTTATATAGCTTACTTTCACTCTTGCTCTTCCTGCCTTTGTCCCCTTCCTATCCACAATTTTAAAAACTCACATGGGCTTTTTATTTCTATAATTTATCTTCATCTTTTGTATTTTTATTATCACTTCCCATAGAGACCACTGCAACAGTTATCTAACTTATCTTCTGCCTATTCCAAAAAGGTTGACAAAAAGCATTTTTCTTAAAATACTAATGCGGTCACATCACTTCCCTGTTTAAAATCTTTCAGTGGCTTCCTATTACACTTACAGTAAACTAAAATAAATAAATAATGATAAATCCACTTATGAACTTAAATATTCTACATCATCAGGCCTCTGCCTCTACCTCATCTAGGGCCACTGACCCACAGTGCTCCAGCTATCGCGGCTTCTGGAATATAACAATATCATTCATGCTACAGACACTCTGCAATTACCATTTCCTCTATCCAGACAGCTGTTTTCTTCTAAAGGTTAGTCCCCATATCCTCTAGATTCCTGACTCATGGATGGCATCCTTAGAATCTCCTTTTGAGATTCAATCTAAGGATGGACACCTTCTTATTGTTATCACCTATCACAGGTATTTACTAACTTTTGAAATTATTCTGACCACTTCATTTTGGTCTACCATCCCCACTTGAAATGTAAGCTCCATATGGGCAGTGAGCTGTTCCTGTTTAAGACTACACTTGCAATGCTTAGTATAACAGTACATAAAAGTTGGTCAATAAATATGTTCACATTATAACTGAATTAATGACTCCCGACCTGAAGAATTCCACTTATCCACGTTATGTCAGCCTCAACTGGATCACAGAATTCTAACCTTAAATGACCACAGAAGTTTATCTAATCAACAAAACTTTTTAATAAATGAAGAAGCTAAGACCCAGAGAAGTTAAATAACATAGCTATGGTCCTGTTTTTGCCTGATTACCTGTTATCCAGACCTTCATATTACACTAAAAATTTAACCAGCAATTTGATTTTGCTGTAGAATACACATATATCCCCACAACCATCTCTTAAAAATGCTGCAAAGTAGTCTTATAGAAGTTGTGATTTATTTATTATTTTTCTTTCCCATTATGGTTTATTATAGGATAATGAATACATTAACAGTTCCCTCTGCTATACAATACGACCTTGTTGTTTATCCATTCTATATACAGTTGGGATTCCCTGGTGGCTCAGGCGGTAAAGAGTCTGCCTGCAATGCAGCAGACCTGATCCCTGGGTCGGGAAGATCCCCTGGAGAAGGAAACGGCAACCCACTCCTGTATTCTTGCCTGGAAAATCCCATGGAGGGAGGAGCCTGGTGGGCTACAGTCCATGGGATCACAAGGAGTTGGACACGACTGAGTGACACCACCTTTATACAGTAGTCTGCATCTGCTAGTCCCAAACGCCCGATTCAACCCCTTGCCCAATCAGCAACCACAAGGCTGTTCTCTGCGAGTCCATTTCTATCTCATAGATAAGTTCATGTGTGTCATATTTTAGATTCCACATATAAGTGGTATCATGTGGTATTTATTTTCCTTTTTCTGACTTACTTCGTATAGTATGATAATCTCTAGGTCCGTTCATGTAGCTGCAAATGACATTCATTCTTTTTTATGGCTGAGTAGTATTTCATTGTACATATGCACCACATGTTTTTTATCCATTCATCTGTTGATGAACATCGAGGTTGTTTCCACATCTTGGCTACTGTAAATAGTGTTGCTATGCAGTCAGAGGTGCATTTATCTTTTTGACTGACAACTTTGTTTGGACATATAGCAGTTATGATTTAAATTTCTATTGGTAGTCTTTGATAACTGTTTTGAAAAAATTTTAGTCCTATATTTGCAACTGCTAACTAGACTTTCACCCACTAGAATATCTATCAAACTTCACTTAAAGTACAAATCAAATTCTAATTAGTCTGAAAGAAATAAGTTACTATGGCATTTTATTATATAAAATACAGCAAAACAGTAGCTCAAAATATTGATTTGGATGTCATTCCATACCAAAGCTTATATGTAGTACAGCATGCATATGGACAAATGTATGAAAAAAAGTTCAATCAGGATTTCATAATAGTTCTGCACTTGTTATGAATAAATTCTCCAGCCTTGCCTTTCCAGATTCAACCATATCGTAAAATTGTGGTTGATTTAAAAATTTCCCCCCATTTTACAATCTGCTTTTCTAGTTAAAATCAAACCAAATCAAACCAAACTAAGCCAACTGGCTGAAAGTTAAATCCAATGTCAACTACATTTAAACCAAAGAAAATCTAATACATAGTTATTTTAAGAAGGCAGATCCATCTAGAATACCTTGATGACTAAAAGTCATGGTAATTATTTTTTGAAAGACATGTTTTATACATTTAAATGACAGTAAAAAGTTAACAATACCAAGGACTTCCCTGGTGGTCTGGTGGTTAAGAATTAGCATTACTGCTTGGAAAGAACACTAAGGGATGATCACTATTAAGCATAGGTAATCTATTGCAGGTAATGGCTAATTCTGCTCTTACATACCAGAGCTGAACCACACAGAAAAGTAGGAAAAAAAATAGAGAATCAACAGTAAACTATTTCATTTACTCCTCACAACAGTTATTTAAGAAAATAAGAAAAAGAATCTATGTTTTAAAGAAAAGTAATCTAAGGAACAGAAAAAAGATGATATAAGTAACAAAGGATAGTTAGATAGCTGAATGTTTCTTTCAATTCTAAAGTTCATTACAAGTCTCACTTACATCAAGTTATTATGTCCATTCTAGGAATTCACATAGATTACATGAAGTAGTTATTGTTTAAACTACTATTATGGGGAAAACCACTAGGCCATTCAGGTAAGACTTAAATCTATTATTATTATATAGCATAGCTAACAAATAGAGTCAAATGATTAGATCTGGTAGGCAGAGTGCCTGAAGAACTATGGACAGAGGTCTGTAACACTGTACAGGAGGCAGTGACCAAAACCATCCCAGAAGGTGAAGTATCCAACATCTGCTGAATCACAGAAAAAGCAAGGAAATTCCAGAAAAACATTTACTTCTGCTTCACTGACCATGCTAAATCCTTTGACTATGTGGATCACAACAAACTGGAAAATTCTTAAAGAGATGGAGATACCAGACCACCTTACCTGCCTCCTTGGAAACGTGTTTGCAGGCCAAGAAGCAACAGTTAGAATCGGACATGGAACAACAGACTGGTTCCAAATTAGGAAAGGAGCACATCAAGGCTGTTTATTGACACCCTGCTTATTTAACTTATAGGCAGAGTACATCATGAGAAATGCTGGGCTGGATGAAACAGAAGCTGGAATCAAGATAGCCAGGAGAAATATCAATAACCTCAGATATCCAGATGTCACCAACCTTATGGTAGAAAGTGAAGAGGAACTAAAGAGCCTCTTAATAATAGTGAAAGAGGAGAGTGAAAAAGCTGACTTAAAACTCAACATTCAAAAAACTAAGATCACGGCAACCAGTCCCATCACTTCATGACAAAGATATGGGGAAACAATGGAAACAGTGACAGACTTTATTTTCTTGGGCTCCAAAATCAGTGTGGATTGCGACTGCAGCCATGAAATCATGACGCTTGCTTCTTGGAAGAAAAGCTATGACAAACCTAGACAGTGTATTAAAAAGCAGAGACATCAGTTTGCTGACAAAGGTCTGTCTAGTCAAAGCTATGGTTTTTCCGGTAGTCATGTAAGGATGTGAGAGTTGGACCATAAAGGCTGAGTGCTGAAGAATTGATGCTATTGAATTGTGGTGCTGGAGAAGACTCTTGAGAGTCCCTTGGACAGCAGGGAGATCAAACCAGTCAATCCTAAAGGAAATCATTCCTGAATATTCATTGGAAGGACTAAAGCTGAAACTGAAGCTCCAAAGCTTTGGCCACCTGATTCAATGAGTGGACTCATTGGAAAAGACCCTGACTGGGAAAGATTGAGGGCAGGAGGAGAAGAGGGTGACAGAAGATGAAATGGTTATATAGCATCACCAACTCAATGACATGAGTTTGAGCAAACTTCAGGAGATGAAGGACAGGGAAGCCTGGTGTGCTGTAGTCCAGAAGGTTGCAAAGAGTCAGATATGACTTATCGACTGAACAACAATATTCTGGGCTAGACTGAAAAACAAGCTATACAGAAGAGGCATTGCTATGAATGTTTTATTAAGTATACACATCCAGTCTGCTATTCATGTTATTACACAAAGTGTAACATTAAGATGTATACTTCAGAAATTATCAGTATAGCAATTATTTCTCCATATTTCTTCTTTTTCTTAATATTTATTTATTTGGCTGTGCTGGGTCTCAGTTGCAGCATGTGAACTTTTAGGTGCAGCATATGAGGTCTTATTCCCCTATGAGGGATCAAACCTAGGCCTCCTGCACTGGGAGTGTGGAGTCTTAGCCACTGGACCACCAAGGAAGTTCCCTCCCTATTTCTTGAACAGCTAAGTGACTTTATTGTTGGCTTCCTAATTTTAATGTTAAAAAAATATATAGCGAAAGATGGGATGATTGTGGTCTAATTAAACCTTGTATGTGAAAGGCCAAGTACTTATATACAACAAAAAGACTCTGGATGAACCATTTTTTTTTCTTTTTACATTAAGTATGTCAGTATTTTGTATCTGAAATAAGCATAAAGAAAACCTTCTTGGATGTTCCATGACGTTAATAGGGTTTTAAAAACTTATGGGACATGCATGGTTGTAGTCCTAATATAGACAGATGTTAGATACTATTAAGACACCTTTGCTTGTTACAGGAAGCAAACTATTCTCTTTGCAAAAAAGATACACAGTATACTTGCATATACTCATTTTTAAGAAGTCATTTATACAGGATGGTATGATTATTAGTATGAACCCAAAACAATATGTAAATCAACTTATCAAAATACTGTACCTTCCTCTCCTTGAACAGGTTCTTCTAATAGCAATTCTGTCATACATTCCCAGTCTTTCAACAGTTCTTGAGAGCTCTCCCACAAACTGTCCACCAAGTAGGCGGCATGTTCATGTAACTAAAAAAAAACAAATCAAATGTGACTGAAGAACACTTAATGAAGAAACTACTATTAATATATTGAGTTATTCAGTCATTTTGTTTATAATTAAAACTGTTGACAATGCTTTCAAGAGCCACTTGAGAGGATACACACACACATACACACACTTGCTTTCTACTACTGATAATGGGGATACAATATATAGACTCAACCAATTTTTAAAAATAATAGTAAGGTTAAGGATCTCCTAGTTCAACGGCATGATCTTTAATAAGAAAACTGAGAGGACAACTAGTTAACAGAATTCCTGAAGCTACACTTGGATTTATGACACTATTCATCACTTTTAGTTTGTCTCTCTTTATAACCACCTTTAAAAAAAAAAATCAATTACTTTCTCCCATAATTTCATTTGAAACATTGGTACCAGTCTTACTTTATCTCTTTTCTTGGTAAAGGTCAAAATGTAAGTTATTCCATATCTCTGCTTTTCCCCTCTAATTTCCACTTAATTCAATGAATCTGTCATTTCACCACACCTTCACTTTTTGCTGCTTATTACTTGACTATTCGCTGGAATCCTTGTTCCCACAGTAGACAAATGCTCTCAAGTTCCTCATCAAACATTTCACGCTCAACTCTTTTCTGCTTGTCAGTCACTAAACTGTAAAGAATATTAATCTCTTTAGAAAAGTTCTTTAGAAAAGGTAAGTAGAGGTGTTGGCCATGTTCTAGTTTCTGCTACTTAAAATTAACTTCTCGATCCTTGTATGAAAGTTCTACTACCTTTGAGTCTCATGACAACCACTTTCAAGATCCGCATTTCTCAAACTTTAGGATTGCAACCCATTCACTGGTAGTTAAAATAAGTTAATGTGTTGAGATCAAAGTTGAAAAAAAAAGGAAACAGTAAAAAAGAGTGTATAGCACATAGAATGTTAAGTACTATTTTATATATCAGTCATATGATCTTGTATTTGTGAGAGAAAATAGTTTTACATTATGAGGAGGGGTCTGAAAATGTGAAAGTCACCTTAGTAGACCTATTGGTTATCTACTGGTATTTTGGTACATTTTGCAGGTGAGTTGCTTTTCTTCCTCATTCCTAATTCTATCATTATTCTTAACTTCTATGTAAATTTTGATGACCTATTTAAAGCTCTGCCTCATTTTAACTCTTGAATTCTATACTTCATTTCCACTGCATTTTAAATCTCACATTCTGTTTTCCGAAATGCCTCAGGAAACTATGTACACACTCATGCACACTCAACATCTACAGTTTTCTAAGTTTTTTGTCAAAGCCAGAGTAGATAATACTGATTAGCATCTCTGTTCAGAAAGAAGATGGGCAAAGGTTTGCAGCCAGATATAGTCAAACTTTCTAAATCACATATCCTAGGAAAATATCCCTAGACCATTAGTAACATCATTCCAACAGTGACAGGCACAAGTACAGTGCACAACCTGGTATCAAAAATGAAAATTAGCAGCAGAAAATAGAAAAAACAATAGGTTTTTTTTTTTGTTGTTGTTTAATTGGCTACTAAGCCTATAGTGAAATGGAGTTACTATTTAGTGGGTATACAGTTTCAATACAGGGAAGATTTTGAAAAAGTTCTAGAGATTGATGGTAGTGACACCTAGACATCCACGTGAATGTACTTAATGCCGATGAACAAGTACACTTACTAGTAGCTAAAATGGTAAACTGTTTCACCAAAATTTTAAAAAATGCTGAGTAAACTTGAGTTTATGGTTAACATACTTAACCATATCTATAGAATAAGTATAAAAAGCTCACAATTATATTTTTGGCAGATTATACCTTCTATACATATCCTCCCTGTCCCTTTTATAGTTCTGAATTCTGGACTTATATATGACATGGCCCCTTCAGCTTTTTATAAGCATTTGTTAATTACATCCAGTATCTATCCAGTTCACTTTCTGTGTTAAATTTTTGATTTAAGGTGTATTTGTAAACATTTAATCTCTTTATTTCAACCCTATATGATAACCTGCCCTGTAAATAAAGCATGTTAGTCCATTTACATTTATTGAGATTACAGATGCTGGCATCTGCTTCCCCCATGCTCTACTAATGACAGTTGTTTTTTTTAAATATGTGCTTCCTGCAGAGTTTTTTCCTAACTTGTTTTTTTCCATCACCATGATCACCAGAATTTTAAAATTTTACTTGCCTTAAGCATAACAGCCATATTGTTTAGCTTGATTAACAGACTTATTTGTTCACCAATATTTCTTATGTTCCTTATTTTCCTGTTATTTCATCAATTTTTCATTTTGCTAAAAAACTTTCTCAAGTAATACTCTGCATATAGGATACAAAGGTAGTAAATATTTTAACTACATATCCTTTGCTTAGTTCCCTCCCTTCATTCTGTTTTCTTTCGAGTTTCTACTAGATAACATAATAAACCTCCTTAATCTGTACTCTCTATTTCTTAATTTCTCTCATACTTTTAATTTCTTTCCTCCTTTGGAAAAAAATTTTTCCTTCCTGGAAAAAAAATCCCTTGATCTGTAGTCAATCCTTGGTTATGTCAATTCAGGTCATTTAATGATTCACCTTTTCCCCACATTTTGAAAATCATGTTAATTTCTAAGAACTCTCTTCTTCTTTCATAATTACTTCTTATTGTATTTGGGAGCATTAGTCAAACATTTTCGTATGTCAGGTCTTGCACTTCTTTTTCATCGTATTTTATTTTCAGGTTTCAGAGTTTCTTGGGTACCAGCATACATACATATATACATTAATGAGCCCAGACTGAAGAATACTAGTAGCTAGAATGCTTTCCTTGAGTCTGATCACAAGGTCCTAGGTTCCTTGGTTGAAAAGAAAGTGGAAAGGGGGATATATAGTCAGGCAGGCTAATTATAGGTATGCACTTTGTATTCTGAGTGCAGAAGTTCCCTGTCCCTACAGGTACCCACAAATTATTGGGGTATTTATTCATGACTTTGCTTCTCAGCCTAATGTCTATATCCCAATGCCTGGACCAGCATTTCTGAAGTGAGGAATAAGCTCCACTAAAGGGCAGTCACTTAATTATTATTGATAGCTTACTCCTTTCACCAGCCTTTGCTGCTCTCTCTTGTCTTTAACGTATTTCAGATTTCTACTAAGAAGTCTTGAAATTTTTTTTCTCTATTTTTGTCTTCTGTGAGGATATGGGTTACTTAACTCTATTGGAATGAATTCATAATCATTTACTTTGCATTGTCCTGTCAACTGGTAATGTGTCATTCATTTTGACATTTTTAGCCGGAGGTTTTCAGTTGGATGAGTTCTTGGCACAATTCAAGGCTTTAAATACCGTGATTCCCCTAGTATTGGCATTTTTAAGGATGATTTTTCTATGCTTTAAATGACAGCATATTAAAATTTAACTCAGGAATGTTGTCATTGTTCTGGAAATTTTTTGTGTGTATATTCTCAATATAGATGCTAATGTCTTGGACCATTTCCTCTTTCTGATTGTAGGGTGGTGGCTTAGTAAAATGCATTCTGTTAACACCAATAACCTCTTGTTTCAAACTCAATGTGTACACCAGAAGGGCATTTTTTTAATAAAACATTTTAAGTTCACCAGTATTAGCAACAAGAATCAGTACAACAGAGTCTGTCAGGAACTGGCTTGACAATATTCATGATACCATCTTCCTGTCTTGGGGCATCTGTGATGGCCACATTACTTGCTACTCTCAAACCTCTACAAGAATACCAGGTAGACAGATCCATGTTTGAGAGAAAAAAAATTTTTTTATGTGGCCAATAGGGTAAAAGTTTACAATAGTCTTTCAGACAATTCATACCAAGGATCTTCTATTGTAAGTGAAAGACGAAGCTCTTAAGAAGGAAGGTCTTGAGGTATTCTCAATGGCCATAAAGAAGCCCTGGAATTAAAAAGGATCTGGAACCCTAAATGAAACAAAAATTTACTTTCTAAAAACAGTTTTTGGTATCATAATTTTATAAAAACAGCATGAAAATCAGGTTGTGCAAGCATTCTTTGTATTCCTTTGACACTGATGAACAAAAAAGGTTGCTCATTAATAGATAAAGAGTCATTGTACAGCAGAATAATCAGAATTATATTATACACATAAATTAAAATTACATTTTTGTGGGGTGAATTTTACCCTGCTATATCTAAGCGTAATTTATTTTATAGAGTTTCCTCTAATCTTGTATACAACAAACTAATTTCATTTTCCTGGTGACTTCAATTAAAATTTTCTCAGTCTGTTCCCACTTGTCTTTAATTGGTTTCAAGGTTATTCATAAATATTGTACCTCATGTCAAATAATTAACTCTTCTGCCAAACAGTTAATACTCTAAAGGAGCTCACAGTATAATGGAATCTTACACTTATTCCTTTTATGAAAAATCATTTACAGTGCAAATAACCATTCTAAATAATTAAGCCTAAATTTGTAAATACTCTTATACTGGGTTTATTCTCTGCTGAAACAGAGTCAGCTTTGGTAATCGTGAAGAACACATTAAAAAAAATAAACCACAAGAAAAAGTTATTCTGGCGAGGGGGCGGGATTTCCTGGTTGTTATATTCATAATATATCTGTTAACCATCTGTCTTAAATGACTGCCATAATTGGCCTTATCATTTTAATTGCCTAGAAGTACAGTTACAATACTTCTAGATTGTCCGGAAATGTTCTGGGTTATGATTAACTGCTTTGGAATAATTATTAACAGCATCCTTGTCACTCTGAAAAGCATCAGTTTCAAAAGTTTGTATAGTAAATATCATGGTCACACTACCTACAGGGAAATCTGGACTTACCATACACAAATACCATTCATCCTAAAATTTGGCATGTACTTCAAACAACAACAATCTCAAATACACTAGGTATTTTTTCACTTGAAACCAATGACTGCTAAAAAAAGTTGTGATGGCCTAAAAATGCCACTTTTTGGTACAAAAAGAAAGAAAAACTAATTTAGGTAGATCTCTGAATCTTGATTATTTCACCTATAATTCATATATAAAAGAGGAAGACCCTATGGACTGCAAACCTCTTTCAATTCAATATTTTACAATTCTACTACTAAAATGTTACTACTTAACATCCCAGGAAATTCCAGGGACAGAGGAGCCTGGAGGGCTACAGTCCATAGGGTTGCAAAGAGTTGGACAGGACTTAGCAAGTAAAGAACAACAACATCATCCTAGTAAAACAAAGGAAGAGGAAAGATAATCAGTTCAGTCAATTCTAGGTAACTGATTGATAATTCAACTATAAGCTAGACTTATTCTACTTTTATGATTTCTAAGGTTTCTTTCAATTCAACTTTTTATGAGCCTATGACTAAAATATTACTAAAACACACATTATAGCAAAACCACAGGAATTCAGAGTAAGGTATAATTAGAATCCCACCATATTACAAGAATATAGGTTTAATAAGCATTCAACTCCAGGTGTATGCTAGTATTACAAAATAAGAGAGATTTTAACAAACAATGCTTCCTGTGCAACAGGAGACCATAAACACCAATATTATGATCATGAATTAACTAGAAACCCTTAAATACGATTTGCAGTTGTTTTTGTAGCTGACAAGAATGTCACAGAAGACAACTGGGAAATATATTTTAATGTTCTTGTAACATTTTAGTAAAGAGCAGCAAACACATAAAACAGCAATACCATTTCAAAAATAGAGCAGTAATACACATCACAAATTACTGCTATGAATAGAAAACAAAACTGTAAAACTAAGTACTTACGGCTTTTAATATATCAAAAAAGTAAAGTCCTTGGGCTTTCAGAGATCCAAAACATTTTCTTTCAATTAATAATCAAGTTCAACTAATCTGATCATCATATTCCCCAAACTTTTCAGCAGTTTAATAGTATATGTGTATCTCATCCCTATCAATTTTTGATACTACTGTTACTATTAAAGTCAAAATTTTAAATAGGACTTGATTGTTGCAAAATACTTTTAGTCTCACTTCTTTAAAACCTAAAGGGTTAAGCGTTTAATTTGAATAGCCTATCACAGGAGTGATATTTACTGAGTATTTAGTGTTTTACCTTAAACATTCACAAGCATCTGTATTTTACTCCATAATAATATCCACACTTGCTTTGTTAAGAAAATAATGCTTTGGACTCTTGCTATCCAAGTGGTTCCTGGACTTCTGGTCCAGAAGCATAAACAAAAAGTAGCATCTCAGATTCCAACTCAAGAGTAACTGAATTAGAACTGGCATTTTAAGAAGATCCCCACAAAATTTGTATACATATTTAATACACTGTTCTTAAACACATCCTTTACACAAATGCAACTCTCCAGTTGGTTTCATTTTGACTGTATTCTTTCTCTATCTGTTCCCAACTCGCTTAAAAAATATCAGCAATTTCTTCACTTTTCTGGCTCTGCTTTGCCCTAACCCCACTCTTTCCACTAACCCTTACGTCTCTCTCTGATCTTAATTTTCTTATAGACTACCTGTTTGTTTCTCAATTCCTCATTCTACAGTTGCTCCAGCACTTTCAAACTTGAGCAGTCATACAGTCTCTTATGTTTCTCTTATTCCTAGACATTCCCATCCAAACCAAAAATACTCTTTACCCAAGTAAAGTTCAGGGTCCTAGATTTCTAGATTTTTGCTCCCTTTATTTGTAACTCTGTTCCCACTCATTTCTAAGCCAATAAGTTTGTTCATTCAGAGCTTTAGGTGTAAGTCTGCCATCCCCCCATGTTATACCAGCAGTAGGAAATACAGTTCTAACATTAAAGAACATTTAAATGGGCAAACTAAAGTTCACTTGTGCAAACAGATTCTGATAGATAATATGTTATGGATGTTAGCTGTTTGATAAACTGACATGGAAATGTTGCATGAGCCTGCACAACTACTAATTTACATTCAAATTCATATTTTTCCTTATCCTTAAATAACTTTCAAACAAGACAGAACCAGTGGTTTTGACAGCTTGAAAATGTTCATATACTGTTTCAATAATATTTCTTTTTATTTTCGCCATACCACACAGCTTGTAGGATCTTAGTTTTCTGACTAGGGGTCAAACCCAGGCCCTCTGCAGGTAATTCCCTAGTGAACTGCTGGATTACTAGGGAATTCCCTAAATAATATAATTTAAAAGCTACAGGTAAAAAGAAAAGCTACAAGAAAAACAAAAAGCACCAAAAAAAAGTATGCTGTATTGCAATGCAGTACTATAAAACTTTAAAAACTGCTAACCTATATTCAGTGTTAATCCATACCTGCATACATATTCCCAAAAAAGGTAGAGTACTGATCCCATTTATCATGGAATCAAATCTATGGAGGTAAGGAATTTCCTGATGGTCCAATGGTTAGGACATGGGCTTTCACTCAGGGAACTAACATCCCACAAGTTGCACAGCACAGCCAAAAAATTCAAAATATCCATGGAGGCAACTTTGTAAGAAACAGTCTTGTCTTCATTTTATTAAAAAATATCACTAATTACAATGATTAAATGACAATTTTACTTAAAATGTAATCTAATACAACAAAATAAAGAGGTATGTTAAAAATTTACCTCACTTTCAAGAAAGAAAAGGACAAGCATCCTAATAAGGTTCCCATTCGGACTGTTTCTCCCCCTTCTCTTTGCTAATGCTTCTTCTGCTTGTGGGTCATGTCTGCTAAACAATCTGTAAATAAGTAACAAAACAAGAATATTACAAATTTACATGGATGTGAATTTAAGTCTTCTCCTTCAGTATAGAAATTTCAGTGTTTAAACAACAGACTAAGCGTATGTGCACGTACATTTCATATAAAACAAACAACAACAAAAAAAACTTGATCATGGAATTCTGAGTCTACTCTACAGTTTACTTGACAGATTTTAAAAGATCACAATATTAAAATGGTAGGAAAATGCTAAAAAAAGATCATTTGCTTTTTCAAAAGTTCTCCAACTGAGTATTTCCAAGGTAGGGGAATAAAAGATGCTTATGAAGTGAAGCTTTTCTTTGCATAGGAATTGACTCCATTTTCTCAAAGAAATAAAAAATAATGGAGGGTTACATTGGTAGATATTTATATGAAATGTTAAACTTAAAAAATTTTAGCAAATGTTCCAAACTTAGACAAATACAATACAGATAAAATTACATATATCCAAGGGCTCTTTCTGATTCCAGTGCTGGCATTAATGACCTCCATTCTATAGATAATGAACCTTTTAAATCTATCTTTTCTTTGAAACTACAGAAGCAATACATTCTTTCTAAAAATACAGAAGCAATAAATTCTTTCTAAAATTCCTTTTGAAAAGTTAAATAGAGACTAACTAGAATATAATAAAAAAAAAAAGAAAGGGAAATTAAGACTACAATATACCCTTGATATTCGCAACAGACAACACCTCAAGATAAGTATGGAAATAGCACTATTCTATATTAGCCAATGAGTCAGTCACATCTTACTATAAAAGCCAGGCCTGAAAATTCTGACTTCTTCACTTTCATTAGCAGCATGCCTACTAGCCAGCTTCCTTCTTAAATAAAGATTTTTTTACATAGAAATAGCTCTATCTTGTTTTGAGAGGTATCACTGAGTAAAGAGGGGCTTCCTCAATGGCTCAGCTAGGAAAGAATCCACCTGCAATGCAGTAGACACAGGAGATCAGGTTCGATTCCTGGATTGGAAAGATCCCCTGGAGGAGGAAACAGAAAACCACTCCAGTGTTCTTGTCTGGAAAATTTCATGGACAGAGGAACTTGGTAGGCTGCAGCAAAGAGCTGGACACGACTAGTGGCTAAGCACACTGGATGTGTGGCGGCGCTTCCTTGTGCTTTGCTGACTCCTATGACAGCTGAGCACCCTCAGTCTTAGCCTACTTTGCAGCTGTCCACAGAGAAACAGGTTTAAAAAAAGACAGTGAGACAAATATATAATAGTTATCAGCAAGAGTCACTTTACCACTGAGTAAAGAGCAGTTTGTGATTGCAGCACCAAGATGCTGATGCTAGATGGAGGGCCACGCTTGCTCATTATCAAAGTTAATCACAGTACAACAGTTGCCCAGTGCATGATTTATACCTGTGCTTAGCATAATCACAAATAATTACAAATCACTATATGTAAAAGACCTCTGGGTTAACCTGTCAAAGTCACTAAGTTAAATCTATGAACAAAAACAAAAACACAGCAAAACATCCCCCTGCTTATATGCTTATATTTTAAGAATGAATTAATAAATTATAGAATATATATAGTAGAGACCATGATCAAAAACATATTTCATAAGGATGTTTAATTACATCAAAAAATTCTCATTAGCTCTATGCTTTGTCAAAAAATTGGATGAGATTTTGCTTTGAAATTAAAGTGTAGCTGCATACATATTTTTACTATCATTACAGATTACTGATTAAAATAATCCTCCTCCTAATAAGATGAAAGAGCCCTGAAAATTTGGGAGGTATTTTGAAGATAATTTTAGATTACCAGTGTTGGGAAGTTAAGATGAGAACACAGAATTTTAAAAGGGAAAACAATTCGATGAAATAAAATATCATTTACTTATGTGAGTCTTTATAAACTTCAAGCACTTTTGCCATCTCCATTTACAAGGAGCTGACTAGCTGAGGACTGTCCTTTTAGATTTTAGATCAAAGGAATACGTCACAAGGGACACCTTTCTCAGGGATATGATTCATGATGTGTATATAGGCTGTAAGAATGTTACAGTCCACAGAATTTGCAGTGGCCACTTCTAGCACTATTTTCAATCACTCTTTCTTTTACTAACTATAAAACAACAACAAAACAAAAACAGAAAAGTGGAACTTGTTTCAAAGAGAATTAACTCACTTTTTGTGAAGGAATTCTCCAGCTGCCACAGCAACAGGGCGATGTGCTGAGTACACCAAATGGTAAACATTTTCACAGTCTTCATTGGAAAGAGCTTCTTCACTTCCACTGAAAAATTCAGAAAAGTAAAACTGAGCCAAAACAAATGCTTACTGTCAGTTCTACCTTGATCAAAATTTTGTATGGTTCTTTATAAAAGCTCAAGGTATACTTATTTCATTTTTCCACTCTTTTTAGTTGAGTTTGAAAATAATATTTTTCTTTAACTATGAAGGTCACTACAATTGTTATATAAAATTCAGAAAATACAGATAAAACAAGAAAATAAAAGGTCCACATTTCTTCCCATACACACTTACAGACAATGACTCTTAATACCTTGGGATATATATTAGCCCAATTCAGCTCAGTTTCTTTAAATGTTCATAAGTTTTTTTGTTAACAGACATTAGTCATATATCCACCTGTTTCATAGTTAAATTGTTACTGTGCTATGTCACTCTCGCCAGAATTGTCTATTTTATAGTTTATCACAATATTTACAATACTAGTCTTCTTTCTATATAAAATGGATTTATTAGTCATAATCACTCCTTTACTAATGCAAATTTGCCGTCTTTCTTTTCATGTAGTTTTAAAGTTTCAACCTTTTATTGGTTTGCTGGAATGTATCTTTAAGTATTTTTTTTCCCAAAGAGGGAATATCCATTTCCTGACTATTAACATGGTTAAAAACATTTGAAAGGATTAAAGATTAATGACTAGATGGGGTACAGAGTGTTTGGGCTGTACAGGTTCTTGACAAGATGTAGCAGTATAAACTCATTCCACAGAATTCAATTCTGGAGATGCCTCAGAGACTAGGAGATTGAGAGAACTGTCAAATGAATATAAATTAGAATGACCTTTGCAGCAAAATAATGTAGTTGCATCATAGTATAAGGGAGACACTTCAGTTCTGAATGAAAACACCTGGATATCAATAATGGGAGACAGATTAGAAGCAGTTTAATTTTAAAGTTCACTCTTTTCCCCTCTCAACAAGGCCCAAGTTTTAACCACTTAATTATATGTATATAAATCAGCTCAATAAACTAATACCCTCAGGATGAAGTTAAACTCATAGGAAAAAAAAATTAACAAGATTTCTCAGTAATCCAAGTTCATAAGGGAAAGGAAATAATCTACACCAAAAGAAGAATAAACAGATGGACAGAAAAAGAATTTAAAGATAGTACAACAGGATGTTAAAGGTGACTTTAACTTGTTATTTTGAGGAAGTTTTGGTAGACATCTCACAAGCCAAGAAAAATAAGGTCAGATTATTTCATGCAGTGCTATAAGAGACTGAAGAGTTAGTTTGTGAACCTCACCAAGTAAGTAGAAATCAGGAGACAGAGCAATATAATGAGTAGAAGTTCATACTTCCTCCAAGTTTCCTTTAGGCCAGACATGAAAATAGGCCAGTCTGGATAGTTTTAAAAGACATCTTATCCAACTAGGCCATATACAGGGCAAGTGACTCAAAGAGAGGAAACCAAAAGCCAGGTGCTGAATCACAAAGTAAACAGCCACAGAGAGTATCATCCACTGTGGGGAACCACTGTCATAAACACCCAAAGGGAGCATAAGACAGGAGGGAAAAGGGCAGGACACAAACGCTAGATAATGATGATGGGGAGCACCTGCTGGCATGCTGGACCGGCTGGAGCCAGCTGAAACCAAGGTGGCTTTGAGAATAGTACAGTTATTGAACTTTACCTCATAATACCTTCACTGAAATACTAAAAAGCACTGCTTTCACACCATGTCAGTTCTGAAAAGGACCATATAAGGCAAAAAAGAGTAGGAAGTGGCCCAATTCTTGGGAAATCCCCACCCTTCGCCAAAATAGCAAGAATATTTCTCCTACTCATTAGCCTACGAAATCACTTAACCCAAAAAAAGTACGTCCCCATGCCCCTGGGCCTATTTCACTTTCCCAGAGGACCCTGTGTCCTGGGGTGGCTCTTGCCTTCTGAGACAGACCGCATTCTGTCTGTGGAAAAGTGTATCACTAAAACTTGCTTTCCCTTTACTATGGTTCCTTCCTGAATTCTTCCTGTGGATTGCCAACGACCCTCACTTGGAGGTCCATCCTAAGGACTTCTGTGGGTCTTAGGATGACATCTCCCTCTCCTGCAACAGGGAGAGCTCTCTGAGGAATCCAGAAAAGGACCAAAGTTATCTAATGAACGAGATTACCTGACACAGTTGGAGGGACATAACTGTACTTTTTACATAAGATATGTTCTGCCCTTATTTCCTCTAACGAAAACACAGAAAAGAATCTTAAAAATAGACTTTTGAAACTAGCCAAACTACTCTCTAAATTCAGGATGAAAGTATGATTTTTTTTTTTTCTTGCCAAACAAGGTACCAGACAGTTTGAAAAACACTCTTTAAGGAAGTAAACTAGCCGGAAAATATAATATTGGAGGAGCCTATGAGAGACTGCCGTAAATAAGGCAGAGCGCAAAAGAACTGATGCCTTCGAACTCTGGTGCTGGAGAAGACTCCTGAAAGTCCCTTGGACAATAAGGAGATCAAAACAGTCAATCTTAAGGGAAATCAACCCTGAATACTTGTTGGAAAGACTGATGCTGAAGCTAAGCATAGTGAAAGTCGCTCAGTCATGTCTGACTCTTTGGGACCCCATGGGTAATACAGTCCATGGAATTCTCCAGGCCAGAAAACTGGAGTGGGTAGCCTTTCCCTTCTCCTGGGAATCTTCCCAACCCAGGGATAGAACCTAGCTCTCCACACTGCAGGCAGATTATTTCCCAGCTGAGCCATAAGGGAAGCCCAAAAAGACCGAAGTGAGTAGCCTATCCCTTCTCCAGCGGATCTTGCCAACCCAGGAATCAAACCAGGGTCTCCTGCATTGTAAGCCGATTCTTTACCAATTGAGCTATCAGGAAAGCTGAGGTTGAAGCTCCAGTATTTTGGTCATCTGATGGGAACAGCCAACTCACTGGAAAAGTCCCTGACGCAGGGAAACACTGAGAGCAGAAGAGGGCGTTAGAGGATGAGATGACTGGATGGCATCACCAATCCAATGGACATGAACTGGGCAAACTTTGGGAAATGGTGAGAGACAGGCAGGCCTAGCGTGCTGCACTCCATGGGGTCACAAAGAAAGGGACATGACTGGGCGACTGAACAACAACAACAAATGAGAGAATTACTCTTCCTTGAAGGTAAGGGAAGAAGTATTGAAAATATCAAAGCAGTTAACACTTGCCTAGATGAGCAAGTATTGAAACTAAAACCAAAAAAAAAGGTAAAAAAGTAATCCTTAACAACAGATTTTAAACTCTAGACAATTTAAATGAAAAAGATGCGTGGGTGGAATGAGGTTATTTTATGTTTAAGAGAAAGACATTGACAAGCTTGTAAAATTCACACGTAGATTATAATCTACTTGTCATAGTAGTCATAGTCTTCATAAATGACAAAGAAGAAAGAAATATAACAATAAAGTGAATACTATCAGAAGATGTAGAAATCATGAGTAGAGAGGTACTGATCTATATATTCTGAAGTATATCAAACAAGAGTGTGTAAGAAAAGATAAGATAGTTGGAAGATTCTAACACATCTTTCTGAAAAAACAGGCAAAAAACAGTAAAGTCATAGATACTTTGAATGACACTGAATAAATTCAAAGTAAAGAATATAAATACATAACTATATAAGCAACACAGATAAGCATTGTTTTTACACATATTTAGAAAATTCAGAAGATTGACCAAACTAAGCAGAACACACTCTTAAATAATACAATAAAATAGAAAGAATAGCTTTAAACAATCTGATCTAGGGAGAACAGAAATTACTACTGAATAATCCATGTTTAAACTGAAAATCATAACAGTAATCAAAATATTTATCATTGATTATCTATGAAAATATTCCGTGTGCAAATTTTTAGGAGACTAGTAAAGTAGTGAAATTGAAAGTAGTACTTAAAGGTATATTCATTACTTTAAACATGATTATTCAGAAACAATAAACAAATAGCTTAAAGAAGCTACTTCATTGAAAAGAACAGTAGGATGGACAAACCTCTGGCATGACTGATCAAGAAAAAGGGGATACAAATAAGATAAATGATGAAAAAGAGAAACAACAGAAAAATAGCAAAGTGTTCTGAATAAACATATCATAAACAATAAAACAACAAAGTTGAGAACTGTGATAAGACTAATTTATTTTCAAAAGCTTATAAAAAGCCAAAATTAATATAAGAGAAAATAAAGATTAACTTAGATAACAGTTAAAGAAGTAGGAATGATGATCAAAGACCTCTCCTCAAAAGAAACTTAAAACTGACGTGGCGAGGAGGAGCCAAGATGGCGGAGGAATAGGACGGAGAGACCACTTTCTCTCCTACAAATTCATCGAAAGAACATTTGAATGCTGAGCAAATTTCACAAAACAACTTCTGATCGCTAGCAGAGGACATCAGGCGCCCAGAAAAGCAGCCCATTGTCTTCAAAAAAAAATGGAAAAAATAAATAAAAAATTTAAAAAAAAAAGAGAGAGAGAGAAAAAAAAGAAATGCACATGTGGTTTACCATTAGACAAATCCATCAATTTCATTCAGACTCATCTATGTAAAACAAGAAAATCCCAGGAAACTGAGAATACAAAAGAACGTTTTTCATATAAAAAACCTATCTCAGTAACTGCAGAAAGAAAAAATTTTAGATGCCTTCCTAGAAAAAGAACAAAAAAAATCCACTATCAGGGATATTTTTAGAGTGCTCAATATTCTAGCTAATGGAATTAGACAAGAAAATGAAACAAAAGTTTTAAAATTAGAAGAGGAGAAGATAGAACTAAAACTGTCTTCACATCATAAAATAATCTACATAGTAAACTCAAGAAAGTCAAACCATCAACATGGATAAAAGTTTTAATATGCTGCACATAAAAGCCAAACATGAAAATTAAGGTTCTCTCTCTTAGCAATAATTCAGTAGAAAATATTTTAAAACTAAATATTAATCATATAACAAAAAAACCATAAAGTATTTAAGAATTAACCCAGTAAACAATGTACACTACTGCTACAAAAGAAATTTAAACCTTATACAAGACTTAATGAGATATGAATAAAGGAATATACCATTTTCATGTACAAATGGTATATATAATTATAAAAACTCCATTCTCTCCTAAATTTATCATAAAATTAAATGCAGTTCTTTTTTTCTTTGGCCACGCCACTATAAGATATTAGTTTCCCAGCCAGGGATCAAAACCCTGTCCTTGTAGTGAAAGAGCAAAGTCTTAACCACTGGACTGCCAGGGAAGTTCCTAAATGCAGTTCTAATATTTACAGTCCCAACCAAAGTTTCTGAGGAATTAGACAAAAGTACCTAAAAAATTCATAAAGAAAAAAGTAGCTAAGTGCATTTTGAAAGGAAAGGCAAAGAAGGTAACTGATCAGTAAGAGGCCATATTTATAAACACACAGCACCTACTAGAATATAAAGCCACAATAATAAAGAATATGGTAGTACAGCCAAAAGGGGTAAAAAGACACCAAAACAACAACAGACCCTGGCATACACGGTATTTGGTGTATGACAGATACAGCATCACAAAATAGGGAGGGGAGGATTTGTAATGACTTTTTCAGGTCTTGCATTCTCTCAAACAGATTCTTCCTGGTTTTTAGTTAGTTCTATATATGAAACTATTCCTATTTTAAAATCTATATCATATTAATGACATAATTTAAACACCTTGCTTCCTTTCTTTTACTTCTGTACCATTCCAAAGAAGCCTATTTGAAAAACCTAACCCTTTGAAGTCTTTTCTTTCTCAATTTCTCTGTCTCTCTCTTTATTTATGTATTTATTTTTCCGTGAAAATGTTTAATTTGGAGAAATCGCTGTTTTCTCATACAATTGATACCGATGGGGAAAACAGATTATTCCAATGATCTTTAGAGTTGCATCCGCCACTGGTGACTTGGGAAAACAATTTCTGCAGCGACTCATACTCAAGCTACCCACGTGTATATGTGTGCGTCTGTGTATGTGTGTGTGTATTTACATGTATGTATATATTGTATGCTGCTGCTGCTGCTAAGTCACTTCAGTCATGTCTGACTCTGTGCGACCCCATAGACGGCAGCCCACCAGGCTCCTCTGTCCCTGGGATTCTCCAGGCAAGAATACTGGAGTGGATTGCCATTTCCTTCTCCATATATATTGTATACCTACCCAGAAGTATACAGACACATACATACATGTGTATACACATGGGTGTTCCCTCAAGCAAAAAATATATTAAAATATCTCTGGTTTAAGGTGCCCCAGTATTCCCCTCAACACTATATACTAACACCGTGTCTTCACTTGAGTTCATGCTATGAGGCATTAGTATGGAGCCTCATAATTCTTCAATTAAATTTTTTCATAATTTTTCATAAAATTTTCAAATAAGATGTAATAGAGTTGAAGGAGTAAAGAAAGGTTTCCTGTTTAGTTGCTAAGTTGTGTCCGACTCTTTGTGACCCCATGGACTATAGCCTGCCAGGCTCCTCTGTCCATGGGATTTTCTCCAGGCAAGAATACTGGAGTGGCTTGCCATTCCCTCCTGCATCTGTCTCTCTCTTTAAACAGAAGAACCCACCTGCCAATGCAGGAAATTGGGTTCAATCCCTGGGTTGGGAAGATCCCTTGGAGAAGGAAATGGCAACCCACTCCAGTACTCTTGCCTGGGAAATCCCAGGGACAGAGGAGTCTGGTGGGCTACAGCCTAAGGAGTTGTGAAAGAGTTGGACATGACTTAGAGATTAAACAATAACAATGTTACTTTATTGATACTTCTCCTGGATTGCATAAAAGAACTTTTACATAGAGGAAATATAAAATATTCAAAATAATAAACAAAGAGAAAACATTTTGTTTCAAACCTAATCTTAAAATAAGAAAGCAAAACCGAAAGTGATAAGAATATACATTAGGATTATATATGTGAAGGGCACTAATAATGCTGGGAAACAACATTAATATTTTAACAGACTAAATTAAAATATTATACTTACTGAAGTATTAGTGTAACCAATCGAATAGCTTCAACAGCAACATCATATTCCTTATCAAGTGTCATTGATACAATGCGATCCTGAAGAAAAATTATAAGTCAAACCAACCACGAACAGAAAAGAAGCTGAGACAGATCTGAGATAATGTTTTGGGGGAAGATGATGGAAGACTAATGATAGATTAGTTTAATAATGATTAGATTAGATGGAAAGTTTTCCTTTTTAAATCTTATCATCATGGTCCTATGCACACACAGGAGGTGTTGTAAATGTTTATAATTTTCATCAACTAGCATTCTCTAACAAAGAGACAAACCTTACCTTGCAAAATCAATATAACTATAAAGAGATGTCCAGGAAAAAAATATTATTTTAAGCAGGAGAGCTTTCCATTGAAGGTAATAAATAAGAAATCATGTTGGTAATATCTTTTATAGAGCAGAGATTCATCTATTTAATACAGGTCTGTTTAAAGAATATGTAGTAAAGAATATGAGCTACACTGGCTATGGTAATGCCATTTGCTAAGCTAGCTATAACAAGCATTTTTAAAGCGAAAAAGAAAAGAAGTTAAGCATTCTTACCTTGAACCGGTTAGTGAATAGCTCCAATTTGGGGAATAATTCTCTATTGGTATACAGACTTTGTAGAGCTTTCAAACACTTCAGTCTGACTTCGCCTTGCTTCAGAAATACAAATAAAACCAAAACACAGTCAATTCCATGTCACAAAAGTTAGATTTTCACAAAAGTTAGATTTTCAAGTCTATATGAGGACTAAAGTGATTTTCAGCTTAACCATTCAATTTATTTCACACTGTAATTTGACATAAGGCAGAACCGAGTAATTATATTGTACTTACATTTAACTAAAAATGCACTAAAACCCCTTAGTTAGGTGAGAGTACGCCTACACCTTTTTCAAATGTGTATCAATTCTGGTTCAACATGAAATATTTCCTACAATCATACTGTAGCACAGTGAGATAATTTTTAGCTTATGATTTTAATAAAAGAAGGGTATGCTAATTTCTCCTTTCTGCAAAAAAAAAAAAAACAAAACTACATAATAAAGTATTATCACTCATTTATTAGCAAACATTTACTAAATGTCTTTTATATTCCAGAAACAGCAGTTAGGAAAACATGATAAAGGGAAGAATGTTTAAAACAAGGGCAAAATGATAGTCATGTGTCCTGGGGTTGCTCTTTACTAGGGAAATATAATAAAACCATTAACTTGGAGTAGATGTTGGTAATCAAAATGCATTCAGGATCACATGGAAACTTAGCCAATCCAAATGATTCAAAAGAGAACGAAATTTCTATGTTCAAAAAGCAACATGTTCCACGGTGGGCGTCCAAATTTTGGAATCAGACAAAGCTAGATTTCCAATTCTATGTGTCATTAGAGAGATGGTAAGTACACTAAAACCATCCCCAAGAAAAAGAAATGCAAAAAGGCAAAATGATTGTCTGAGGAGGCCTTACAAACAGCTGAGAAAAGAAAAGGGAAAGGCAAAAGAGAAATGGAAAGCTATATCTATCTGAAGGCAGAGTTCCAAAGAATAGCAAGGGGAGGTAAGAAAGCCTTCCTCAGGGATCAATGCAAAGAAATAGAGGACAACAGTAGAATGGGAAAGACTAGAGATGTCTCCAAGAAAATTAGAGATACCAAGGGAACATTTCATGCGAAGAAAGGCATAGTAAAGGACAGAAATGGTATGAACCTAACAGGAAGCAGAAGATATTAAGATGTGCCAAGAATACACAGAAGAACTATACAAAAAAGATCATGACCCAGATAACCACGATGGTGTAATCATTCAACTAAGAGTCAGACATCCTGGAGTGTGAAGTCAAGTGGGCCTTAGGAAGCATCACTATGAACAAAGCTAGTGGAGGTGACGGAATTTCAGCTAAGCTATTTCAAACCCTAAAAAATGATGCTGTTAAANAGATGGGGAAACAATGGAAACAGTGACAGACTTTATTTTCTTGGGCTCCAAAATTACTGCAGATGGTGACTGCAGCCATGAAATTAAAAGACGCTTTCTCCTTGGGAGAAAAGCTGTGACTAACCTAGACAGCATATTAAAAAGCAGAGACATTACTTTGTCGACAAAGGTCCCTCTAGTCAAAGCTATTGTTTTTCCAGTAGTCATGTATGGATGCGAGAGTTGGATCATAAAGAAAACAGAGCACCAAAGAACTGATACTTTTCAACTATGGTGTTGGAGCAGACTCTTTAGAGTCACTTGGACTGCAAGAGATCAAACCAGTCAATGCTGAAGGAAATCAGTCCTGAATATTCACTGGAAGGACTGAAGCTGAGGTTGAAGCTCCAATACTTGAGCCACCTGATGTGAAGAACTGACTCGTTGGAAAAGATCCTGATGCTGGGAAAGATTGAAGGCAGGAGGAGAAGGGGGCAACAGAGGATGAGGTGGTTGGATGGCATCATCAACTCGATTGACATGAGTTTGAACAGGCTCTGAGAGTTGGTGATGACGGACAGGGAGGCCTGGGGTGCTGCAGTCCATGGGGTTGCAAAGGGTTGGACGCAAGTGAGAGACTGAACTGAAGTACACTAATCATTCTGATACTAGGTTTCTCAGTTATAAAATATGCTTCTGAGTTCATACAGTTGTTTCAAAATTTGAATGCAGAGGTATGCTGGTAAAAGTTTTAACAACAAGCTCTGGGAATGGGGCCCTGAACTGTTCCATTTACAGATTTCTGTGATGTGATTACTCCCTCCACAGCCAATTTCAAGATACCAATCCTGAACTGATATAAATGAACAGATATGCACTGAAAGCTGATTCAAGGTAGCTCAAGCACACCACTGTGAGATATGCTTGTTGGTCAAGTCTCTAGCACAGAGAAGGTATCCGTGGTAGTTGCTGTTGATGACCTGCCCAGATGTCCAAATCCTAATATACACGGCTAATCTTCCCACTTCCTTCTGTATTGACAGCTAATGGAGGTTATCTGCATCTCTCTCGAGAACTGACCATGGCTGGAAAGAACCACCTAGTACAGAGATTCCTATGCTCTACTTTGCCTTTGCCTCCTTCAGAATGAAGTTCATAGCCATTGGGGAATGATACAGGAGGGTAAAAGAGCCCAATCTCCTTGTCTCAGGACAGGATAACCTCTGAGGTGCAGTTTATTCTTCAAAGTTCCTTCTGAGGTGATGCTCAGACAAAACTTCTCCTAAAGCCACATTTCTGTCAGTGTCTCCTACTTTATCCTATATCCTCATTTACTTACAGGTCTCTCCTGAGAATATAAACTTCAATGTATCTCTAGCACAAAAATATTTGACCAAGGCTGAGATTCTAGGGAATGTGACCTAAACAGCCGGTAGCAAGAGTGGTCCTTACAAGCAGACTTCTCTGATGGGATTCTGAAGATGGATCACTTGAAGGAAGAGCTACTATGAGGATGGACCCAATTACTGTTTGTAAGTGAAGTCAATGATAGTCTCTGACATAGAAGAGCAGCCATTTGCTAATTCACTTATACATGAAAGGAGATATGCACTTAGCTTGTACAACATGACAAGCATTTGATGGATAACGTTGTAAACAATAACTATAAGGACTATGGAAGTGGGTGGCTGTCACTGAGAGTGCTGAAGAGAGAAAATGACAGGCTAATTAATCACCAGTTTAAATCAACAAATGGCAACATTTAAGAGACTTTCATCTCCTGCAGATAAAGAGTTCATTATAGTGAAGACTAGACTGAGAACTCAATTTTAAGGGTGGCAGAATTTATGAGACATTGCATCTCAGGCAAGTCTATGCCAAAATCACAGCCATATAGGAAAGAAGTAGGAGTTCAAAGACTAGCTGGCAGATGTAGATAGAACCAAGAACTTGAAGTTTTCCATGAACATGTGGGTCTGCAAATAAGTCTCAAGTTCCCCTGGTAGAAGAGAGCATGCTTCTTCCACCTAACTATCCCCTTGAACATATGGAAACCTCAAGTGAAGCAACTACCTTAAGGACAATGCTAGTAGCTTTCTGCATGTTCTACACCAACCTTCCCTTATGGCCACAAGCTAAGGTCAAATTTCAGTATGGCCCAAGTGGGGAAGTAATAGGTCTGTTAAAGGAAGAGGGAGATTATACTTCTGTAAGTGCTACAGGAATGGGCCAATTTGAACAAATAAGAACCGAGAGTGGTTGCTAAGGGTACTGGATTAGGAATGGGAATATCAAACAAGATGAGAGTTTTTGGATATGGGGCACTCTTTCTTCCCTCAGAATTTAAGGCCCATGCAAATGGACTAACACTGCTGGATGACCTCTGGAAAAAGCAGTGGAGCATATTAAAGAAATAAGAGATCCAAGAATCATTGTGGCAGACTGTGAAGAAAGGCAATTAAAACACAGTGAAGTAAGCTATATAAAGGATCTACTGTATAAACTCAGAAGACCTACTTGTTGGGTATGTTCCTCAGGAGGGCCTGGACGATACTGTTTATCAAGGCAATAAAGAGGACTGGGGGCCCAGGCATTATTGAGAAACCACAAAATGGCTCTGTTCTGAAGTCTAGAGCTGGCAACAGAAGAGACTCAAATAGAATTCAGTTTCCATTCCAATAACAAAAATGATGATGAGATCACAGAATAGCAGAAACAAGGTAGCATCACCACACTAGCAGATGCAAGGTGGACATGATAACTCTTAACAGGCAGAGCAATGTCGAAGAGCAGCCCATGGGGTCTGTGGATATGGCTCATAAGACATGGTTTTCCTGGAGGCAAGATATATGAAAAGTCAACAAAAGTATCACATAATATGTATCCTTGATTACAAGAGATCAACAACAGATAGAAAAAGATTAAAGACAGCTGACCCAAGGTAAAATTATAACTCCAGATTTAAGATAGCAAGTAAGAAGTTTCTTTACATCTAAATTTCAAAATAAGGCCAAAAAACATGAAATTACTTTCACCCAATCAAGTTCACAGAGCAAATTATACATAGAACAAAGACATTAAACAAGTTTTATCCACACTTTGTTTGGTGATGCTTCCCAATCAAGTACCTCTCATACCAAATCTTTTTCTTTACCTATAACATAGCCTGCTTTCATTACAGGAACTTAACTAAATAACTTTAACAATAACTTAAACGAAAAACCCACCTGCAATTTTGGTAATTTTTCTCTTTTGGGACTCCATTATACTCTGAAGCTGCTGCTATCACAGAGCCTAAATGCTTTGTTGTTTTCCTATTACACAAAATCTTATTCAGACCTGAGTGCTATTTAACACAGTGCCTAACCCACTGTGTTGCTTGATAAATATTTTTTGAATGACTAACGATATAAAAATGAGAAAACAAAAAAGAAACACAGAAAAATAATTTGTTAAGGGAGAGGGAATGCGTTGTTTGTCAGAGACACAAAAATATTAAAGTTTTTGCAATTAAATTATTATTAAATTAAATTATTATTTAAATTAAATTATTTTTGAAAAATGTCAAGAGCTACAAGTATTATAAAAAAGACGGTATGATTTCATAATGGGTTGTATTTAAAGGGACAGTTTTCATACTTATAGGAGAAAATGTTGATTGTTATTAAAATGCATACATATAATATGAACACCCCAATGGGAATACTGTGAAAGAGTTCAGTTCAGTTCAGACACACAGTGGTGTCC